TTGATACCCAGATACAATTCTCTAGGAAATACAATAAAGTGGATAACAATTTATTCATAACATTGAGTAAAAGTCCATATAATACTCAGATGATATTGGTAGAAAGGGAAGAAAATTTTGTTCAGTTTGAATTGATTAGAAAGCTTTGTAATCAAATTTTGAGGTTTGATAATCGAAAGGCTTTAATATGGGAATTAACCTGGCATAGAAAGAAAGCTAGAGTCAGGTATAAACGTGACATCAAATATCATCTGATGGGTTAAAAAGGTTTTAAAGGTTTTTTTATGATTTAATAATGAATGAAGGATGTGGACTTATTGTTAATGTATTTTTTTTTTTGGACATATATTATTATTATAAATATGATAATTATGCTGTAATAATTGAACTTGTTTGACTTAACTATGAATGGATGGGAATCAAGGTTTTAAAGGTTTTTTTCTGACCTGTTTCTCCTAGGTATTACACATAATTTGGATGTAAAAGAAATTAATTTGATGTTGTACTGTTTAACTGCTGCCCGTTTGTTGATAGCTCAAAATTGGAAGAGTAAAATTTTACCTACAATGGAAGATTGGAGATTGAAAGTTTTGCACCTTGCTGAAATGGCAAAGATTTCAGCTTATTTGAAGAATCACTCAAATGAACAATTTTTATCTATATGGAGAAGATGGATTGTTTATATTCAAAAGAAGCATAGAATACTGGAATATAATTTAGGTTTTTAATTAACTGGTTTTTTTTTCTTTTTTTTATATATATATTTCACTTATTTATGTAAAATTTACATATCTTGTGGAGTTAGAGATATTAATAATTGTTTACTTATATTTGAATATTATCCTGGGATTAGGTTTGGGAAGTCTCGGGGGGTGGGTGGGTGGGGGATGTGGGTGTTTTTTATATTATATTGTGTTATATTTGTGATGTTTTTTTTATGATGAAAATAATAAAATTTTTATTGAAAAAAAAAAAAATATGAACCAGTTGCCAAGAGTCTCAATTTTGATCACGTGACCATGGGGATGCTGCAATGGTTTTAAATGTGAAAAACAGTCATAAGTCACTTTTTTCAGTGCCATTGTAACTTCAAACAGTCACTAAGTGAATGGTTGTAAATCGAGGACTACCTGTAATTATGGGAGCTAGAATCCACTACACTTCCAGCCAGGACAACTTCTGGAAGATCTATAACCTCATATTCAGTTCACTTGGGGCTGACTCTTCGCTCAGTGTAATGTGGGCCATGTCTTCACTCCTGGCAGTTGGCAAAGAAAAAGGATCATCTTTAACCATCCAAGACAAAGGATTAATTGAGATTGGAGGGAGAGATAAAGCATTTTGCAAAGAAATTAAATGTTTGGAAATCTGTTTGCCAGGTGGATTTCTCCCAGTTTCTGCTTCTTCTCCCCCTTCTTCGGGATACCATTTTTCCAGCTCAAACCCTCAAATGCAGCACTTTTGCTGTTCCCAGAGTTTGAAATAACAAGAGGGAGAATGTCTCTGAGTATCTACAATGCAGCAGTGATTTTATTTATCTAAAATTTTATGTATTTACAATACAGCAGTGTAGCAGTATTATTTATCCTTTTTTATTACCTTCTTTACTTCCCCCTTTTATTGGTGGTATTACTATTATTATGGTTTGTCCAGTCAGCCAGATGTTCAGACTGGATTATTCCATCTATTGCTTTGCATATACACTGAGTGCTTCTGTACTGGAGACAAATTCCTTGTGTGTCTAATCACACTTGGCCAAATAAAGTATTCAATTCAATTTTTGAACTTGGCAATTTTAAGAAGTATGAGCTTCAAATCTCAGCATGCTGCCTGAGGAATTCTGGGACATGAAGTCCACACAGCATAAAGTAGTCAAGTTTGAAAAACACTGATCTACTGTCCATCATGCTTTTAGGCCAGCCACAAGGAATCCTGACTTTGCTATAATTATGGACAAAGATGGGTAAAGCACAGGAGGAATACCAAATAAGTCAGAAGAGACAAAGGGTGTTTCTGGGAGGCTGATCCATGCCCAGAACATTTGATGTCTAAAACAGAAATTACTTTCAAAACTGTATCATGTCTTCTGCTAAAGCAGTTTTGCTTCCGGATAAGTAAATCTCCCATACCTTTTATTTAAAATTTATAACATTTCAATTTCTAGCTATAACATTTCAATTTCTAGTTCCAGAAATATCCAATTATTATGTCTCCAAGCTTCTTTGGTTTTAATTTCCAAAATGTCCTATTTCTGCCCCCGCTCAGGTGGATCTGCTCCAAAACCTCAGTACTTGGATTGACCCCAAATGAAAGTATCTCTCTGTACAATATGTATGTTGAAAAAGCATTTTTTAAATATCTATCCATTCTCTATATGCCAGCAAGTACATTCTCTCTCCCTCTCAAAGAATTTAAAAATGAAATCTTTCTTGAGTTCAATCCATGTTGACCACAAGGACAGGTCCATGTGATTTTCTTGGAGCAATATTATATAGATATTATATAGATAAGTCATTGAGTTATGACCACAATGGAGCCCAAAATTTCTCTTGCTAAGTGAAACATTTGTTAAGTGAGCTTTGCCCCATTTTATGACCTTTCTTGACGCAGTTGTTAAGTGAATCACTGCAGTTAAATTAGTTACATGGCTGTAAAGTGAATCTAGCTTCCCTATTGACTTTGCTTCTCAGAAGTTTGCAAAAGGTGATCACATGATCTCAGGACACTGCAACCGTCATAAATATGAGCCAATTGTCTGAATTTTGATCATGTGACCATGGGAATGCTGCAAAGTTTTCCTAAGTGTGAAAAACGGCCATAAATCACTTTTTTCAGTGCCCTTATAACTTTGAACGGTCACTACACGAAAGGTTGTAGGTCAAGGACTGACTTCATAGAAGCAATTCACAACTGCCTTCTTATGGTACGATTTTAGCAGTCTTCTTCTTGGGCTTTCCTGTTGGTATCCCATCCAGTAGAAAAGAGATCAGCCAAGGCTGGCAATTACACCTCCTACAACATGTATAGAAACATCCACAGCCTCTTGATGGGCTGGATTACAATTTCCATCCTTCTGCAAGCACTGGATGTGGCTGATGGGAACAATAAGTTCTTGAAGGCACAAGAGTATGAAAGGGCAACACCATGCATTTACCTCCTAGACCAAAGATCCCCAAGGAGGCTTTACCCCCCACTAAAATGGATTCAGAAATTATGACATGCTTTCGAAGTTCACAAGAATTTAATATATTTCTTGCATGATAAATATTTAAACCATGCACGTAGTTGGCCTGAGAGATTTCTCCCTTTCTCCTTCTCTCACACCATGAGGGCTCAAGGTCACACACTGAAACTAAATGCAGGGACCTTCTGCACACCACCCAGGATGGCAGCCAATTGCGACAGTGTTAAAAGGGAGCTGGACAAGATCCTGGAGGGACAAGCTGCCCATGGCTTCTAACGTTACCAGTAGGACAATCAGGTTAGTCTAGTGGTTAAGGTGCTGGCTTAGAAATTAGGAAATGATAAGTTCTAGGGATGAAAGGTGGCTGGGTGAGTTTGGACCATTCCCCTCCCAGCCCAGTCCATCTCACAGGGTTGTTGTGGGAAAAATGGGAAGAATGAGCATCTTGTACCCCTGTCCTGAGTTATACAGAATAAAGGTGGGAAATGAAACAATAAAGACATAAAAAATAAATAAGGCTAGTACCTTGTAAAGTACAAGGTATAGCAAGCCCTAAATAATAACTGCCCAAGCAAAATCTTCAGAGCAAGTTTGGCAGTACCTCCCAGATACAATTTGCTATATTATATTATGCTATATTATATTATATATATTAATTATATATAATATAATATATAAGATATAATTAATATAATATAATATATATGTTATGTCATGTCATGTTATGTTATTGTTTTTGTTTTTGACATAAAGAGCACCAGACAGCGTGAACTGTGTTTGGTACAGCACTTCTGATTGTGGGATTCCGTCCCCCCCCTTTCCCAGCATCTTGAATAGTTAAGGTTACTGTTAAGTCTGGAGAATAATGGCGCTTGAGACGAAGCATCTCCAACAAGTCTTTATTGTTTGCTTCCATTCTACGAACGACAACCCCAGAGGCGCGCAAGCCTCTATTTATACTCTCCGATCCCCGGGCAATTCCCACCAGTCACAAGGCAGTCCTTTCCCACCTTGCGCATGCGCGCAAGGCCAGCGCTGGTCAGTCTGGTCCCGGGCAGCTTTTGCAAATGCCCGGGACTCTTGCAACTTCCCGCGCCTGCTTCTGCAGGCACGGGACACAACAGTTACTATCTTAAATTACGTGGTGTTCCAAGTCCTGCAGCTTTTTTTTTGTAAATTATGATTTTGATTATTATTGTTATGGTTGCTGGCTTCAAAACACCCCGCTGGAAACACGAAAGGAAAAGCCCTAACAACGGAAAGCGTCCCGTTCCAGGGGCCACAGGATTTCCAGCCCAGCGGGACTTCCGAGAAGCCGGGCCGGGCCAAAGCTCGAGTGCCCCCTCCTTGTCCTCGCCTCCCCCGTCTTTCCTTCTCCGGCCGGGCCGTTTCCTTTCCTGCGCTGACTCGCTGCCGTTCCCCCTTCTCCCCCCCCCGCACCTCCCCCGCAGATCAAAGGATGGAACGCGGAGCCTGGCTGCACGCCCGCCAATCCCCGACTGCGGGGGCGTCTCTCGCCGTGAGCCGAGCCGGGCCGAGCCGAGCCGAGCCGGGGAGAGTTTTCGGCACTGAGAGCGAGGCTGGCGGTCAGTCGCTCGCTATCGGACGTCCTCGGTGGCGGCGAAGGAGCAGCAAGACCCACCTGCCATGCTTGCCTGGGGTGTTATCCTGGGGCTCTTGCCCGTGTTGCTGGGGTCCGCCCGGGGAGAGCCCATCGCAGGTAAGTGGGGATCAGGGAGCATTTAGGACGGGGGGGGTCCCTTTCTCCTCCCTCGACAAACTTTTCAACAACCGGAGAATCGGTGGAGCAAATAGGTGCGGCTTTCAGGATTGGTACTGAAGGGTGCCACGAAGCTCTACCTGTTGAATGGCCGCGGTCCCAAAGCGCTGGTTGAAGCGACATTGGGAAGGGCTTCGGAGGGATGAGGAAGAGCCGGCAGATGGAAGTAAAACAGAGGAGGGGGGGGCTGGCGAGTGATTGAATGAGTATAGGAATATAAATGAACGGATGTAGTTTGTAGTTTGTCCGGATCCCTTTTGTGATTTGACTACAAGACCGCTCGTCAGGAGTCCCGGCCAAACCTTTGCGGACGGCCGTGGCTGCCTTTGTGGAGAAAACGTGGAATGAGGACCTCGCAGCGATTTTTAACTATTCAAGTATGCCGGTTTCCCAGTAACCCAGCTTTCTAGTCTAGTTGATACAGATGCTGGGGTGCGTTCCGCGCAAAGCATGGTGCGTTCACACGTGATGTTAAGGAAAAGACTTAGATCTGCTAACCCTCCAAGGAGGAGAGAAATTCAGTATAAAGTCGGCGCGGTCATCTTGCACAGTTTTTCAGCAGGTGCAACTCTATCACGGCTCTTTTACTTCTCAGGGCTGAACCTGTTGGATCTTTTTACCTGTTAAGGAGCCGCTAACGTAACGATGCCGGCTAGGAGATTTACGAAAACGAACACAGTATAATTTTTATTTTATCCCGCTTTTATTACTTTATAAGTAACTCAAGGCGGCGAACGTGCGTAAAACCCTTTCCCACTTTTATTATTAATTTATTATTTTTATATTAGTATAAAGTTTATACTAATATAAAAATAAATTAATAATGAAAGTGGGAAGGTGTTTTACGCACGTTCGCCGCCTTGAGTTACTTATAAAAGTAATAAAAGCGGGATAAAAGAAAAATCTAAATAGAATAACAGTTCACCCCGACTAAGCAATCTGCACATGCTTAGTGGCGCTTTCTTATTAGTTGGCAAATTCCTGCGCTGAGTTAAAGCCCGCCCCCTCCCCGCGAAATCAATCACAGAAGTTGTCAGAATTGGAATGTTTATGAATGCAAGGCCCGTTCGACCCTGCCTCTTTCCTATTGGCGGGCTCTCCGGATGAAAGTCTCGGGGCGTCTTATTCCTGCAAGTGAGACAAGTGGGGTTGGCGTCATGCGACCCACTCTGAGTCATCTGTCCGACTCGCTTCTGGGCTCAGCGCCATCTGGTTGCCTTGTTCACTCGGGGCATGTTTTATCAATGAAGTCATTTAAAAGTGAGGGACGTGATGGGAGGGAGGAAGGCTCCCTCTCCTTTTAACCCCCCCTCCCATTTTGCCATGTGATGCTCCCTGAGTTGACCCCCCTCCCCCCATGTTCTCCTGTTCCTAACACTGGTTCACGTTTCGGGGTGAAACACAATATCCACTCACCCCAGTGACGTTATGCCTCTGGAAATAGCCCTGGTGTCATGGGGGGGGGGGCTGGGATCACATGGATTAAGTGCAATGGCCCCCCATTTCTGAATCTTATTTTATCCTTATTTTGCTTCCCTATTTTCACCCAGCTGATAATGCTTCTCAAGACCCTTCTTTCTTTCTTTCTTTCTTCCTTCCTTCCTTCCTTCCTTCCTTCCTTCCTTCCTTCCTTCCTTCCTTCCTTTCTTTCTTTCTTTCTAGTTCATGAATTTTTAGGAGAGCAACTATGGCTGAAAACATGCTGGATTACAATTTCCATAACCCTAGGAAGCCAGGGACTATTGGAACTGGAGTCCAACATACCTGCAAGCAGGCAGAATCAGAAATACCAGAACTTTGGTTAATTCCACTTTGCTTTAGGGAGGCAGAAACTTTCTGATGCTGTTTGTGTGAAAAGGAGGGTGGGTGAACTCTCAACTCCCTTTCTGATTTTTTTTCCCCCTCAGAAACTAGCTGTCCTGGAGGCCAGTCCTGGAGTCCCGACTTGGAAAAGTGCATGGATTGCTCAGTGTGCCAACGTCAAAATAAGAATGATTTTTGCTCTACCTGTAAGTGGCTCCTAACTATGCCTGGTACTGTGGTGGAGGAGGCTCCATACATCTTTGGTATTGCCGGGATAGTTCCTGGAGCACTCTGGGAGAGAAGATGAGTGGTTGGATGTTCACCCTGATGCTACAACATATGATTCTTTGGGGTTGAATGTTTGGATGGTGGAACGGTTGAGTGCAGGCCCGGCCTGGGACATTTTGCCCCAGAGCCCAAAGTCAAGATACTGCTTCCTGTCGTTGCATATTCAAAAGCCAATCAATTAAACTAATCTGGAGACAGGATCCCATCTGTCAGGCAGGCCAAATGGCACTCATAACGCCATCCCATATACCTGGATAGAGCTACCATTATTCCCTTCCCTGTCACATCCGCCACCGGAGAAGGCAGCCCTCTTTCTTTTCCCAACTTTGGGCAAGCGAGGGCCAAGGTTTATTCAAGGATGGTCAAAAAAGTGAAAAATTCAGCCTCAACCATTGATTAAAACTTTTCCCCATTTGTACCTGGGTTGCACAATCGCAGCTCCACAGCACCCATGAAGGGGTGGGGCTTCTGTCACATGATTGTGGCAGCCATCTTGGCTTTTGAGGATACTCAGCCCACTTCTATTAGCTGTAGGTCTGCTAACTATAGTCTTTGTTTTTAATCCCCCCCCTTTCTTTTGGGAGCAAGTGGTAGCTTGATAAAGGACGGTAGCATATAAATTCAATAAATAAATATATAAATGGAAGCAAGCGTTGGCATCTTCCACCAATCCTGAGAGCAGCCACTGATGCCGCCGTTCAAATCTACTCTAGTCGCTGCTCTGCATCATCTCCAAGCTCATTTTTGGGGGGCCTGGAGTTAATTAGAGTTCAGAAAGAAGCAGAGGCTCAGTTTTTGGCCAGCCTTTTTATGAGCAGGGTTTTGTCGTTGTGCTGCTGGCAATGAAAAAGATAATTAGTTTTTTCCCCCCACCTCTATTCCAACATTTAAAACTGGAAAAAGTAAAGTCTTTGTATACAGTTTTATTCCACTGCTTGTGGCAACTCTGCCTTGAGGGGCCTAGGTAGGCAGGAAGGGAAAGGATTTTTAAACAGTAGATGTCTGTTTCAGATTAAGAAATTGGCTGCATGAGCCAAAGATCCTTTGGGATCAACTAAAGGCTATTTTTTCAGGGGAATTTAAGGTGTTCTTCTCTCCTTACTCTTGCAGGTGGAGACCCCCAGCCCACCAACACCCTCAATTTGTGGGTGCTAGTTGGGGCATCGCTTGGTGCTGTTTTTCTGGCTAGCATCATTGCGGGCACAATCATTTATGCCCGCTGCCGAAGGCGAGAAAAATTCACCAGTAAGTTCTTCCTTTTGGTAATATTTCATTCTAGTTGAAATTGTTGCCACAGCTAGTCCTCAACTTACAACCATTAATTTAGTGACCATTTGAAGTTGCAATGGCAAATGACTTACAGTGGGTCTTCACACTTACGGCCGTTGCAGCATCCCCACAGTCACATGATCAAAATTTGGGTGCTTGGCAACTGGCATGTATTTACTAGCGTGCCAGGGTCATATGATTGCCCTTTGCAACCTTCCCAGCTGGCTCCCAACAATAGCAATAACACTTAAGACTTATATACAGCTTCATAGTGCTTTACAGCCCTCTCTAAGTGGTTTACAGAGTCAGCATGTTGCCCCCAACAATCTGGATCCTCATTTTACTGACCTCGGAAGGATGGAAGGCTGAGTCAACCTTGAGCCGGTGAGGATCGAACTCCTGGCAGCCAGCAGAATTAGCCTGCAATACTGCATTCTAACCACTTCGCCACCAAGGCTCTGCAAAGATAGTGGGGGAAGATGGATTCACTTAACAGCCATGTGATTCAGTTAACAAGTGGAGTGGTTTGCTTAACAATTGTGTCAAAAAAGGTCATAAAATCAGGCATGATGCACTTACCAATCGCCACGCTTAGCAACAGAAATTCTAGTCCCAATTGTCATTGCAATTCAAAGACTACTGAACAGCGAACATCTCTTCAGCAGAGTATCTACCTCTCTGTCACACTGATAAACTTTTAACTATATTTTTACTCTCTTTCCAGCCCCAATTGAAGAAACTGGAGGCCATTCAGCTCAAGAATCACTGATACACTGAAGGTGAGATCAGGATACTCCTAATCTCAGTTCCTTTCCTTGTCCTTCCTTCCTTTCTGCCTGTGGGCGGAACACTTTTATTATTCTTATTATAAATATATATTGGTTTTATTGCTTTTAATATTGTAAGCCGCCCAGAGTTGCCTGTGGCGGGATGAGTGGCAAATTAAATACGTAAATGAATAAAGAAATAAAGTGACACTTGAAGAAGTGGAAAGAGAAACCAAGTTTCTAGTTCTCAAAAACAAACATGTTTAGCTTTCCCTCTTTTTCAGAAACCTCCCCAATAACCTTGAGCAGAAAACTTTTTTTCTAGCTAGTGAAACATTTACAGAAGCTCAGTATATTAGTGTGAAGTACAATGAAGTCATACTGTGATAACAGAAGTCTTTTTTTTTCCTTTGGGCATAGTTCCGTGTTCATTCCTAAGCACTTTCATGTTTGAATAATCTCAGAAGTTTTTCCTAGTTCACATATTTAATTGGGACTAACACCTGATTAAGTGTAATTTCTGAGTAAAACTGCCTAGGATTGTTTTGTTGATCTCATACCCTCTCTGAAAACCTCCAACTTCATACTTGGAATGAGCAGTATGTATTTCACTTCATACATACTACTTGTACTGATGATGTTACCTAGTTTGGGTAATGAAACATCTGCAAGAAAACAAGCTAGCTCAGAGAGCACCAAGGAGCCCTCAATGTGCATACTTGGTTTTTTGTTTTTTTTTTAAACATTCCGCTCTTCATCAGATTTGCTGAAATAAAGGTATCGTCATGAAGGTGAGAATAAGCAATCCAACAAATAAATAATAGATAAATGGCACTATGGCCCTTTTTTAAACTTCATGACAACCCTGGGAGGTGGGCCAATCTGGTCCAAGAAAAGTCCCAACCTCTAGTTTCACCAGTCTGTTTCCAGTGCTTTCCTTTCCCAAAATAATATCTCTGATATATTTCGGCATATCCCAGCTATCATTCCCAACCAGTTGCCCTCTTTGGCCACTTTAAGATGTGTAGACTTCAACATGCTGGCTGGGGAATTCTGGGAGTTGAAGTCCACACATCTTAAAGTAGCCAAGGTGAAGAAACACTGCCATAGAGTGATGGGAATTTGGGGGGGACAAGAAGAAAGAATCATACTGAGTGCAAATTTATCTTATGCTTTTGTTTTTTCCCCCACAGATCAGGTTTTTTTCACCACTTCAGATTCAGGAAACAGCAAAGAAAACATCACTTTTGATTACCTCGACTTTTCTTGAAGCTGCAGGAGAGACATTGTTCACTTGCCCTGGCATTCTGTACACTCAGCAACGGGCTGTGAAACCTACTGTCTCTTGTTCCCATTTCAGGAAACAGGCCCCTCTGTGGAAAGGGTGACCATCTTCCTTGTTAAATGCCTTGTGCTAGGAGAGGAGGAAAAAAACCCTCACTTCTGGCACATATGTACCCCAGGCCTAATGCCTCATATTGGGGTGATTTATTTTTCTACAGGGGTTACAGTTTGGGGAACTTTGCAGTTCCTAGATCTGCATTGTGGGCCTCCTCCTTTGTCGTTTCCCTCCGGGGAACATTTTAAGGAAAAAGATGAATGTGATTTTTAGATTATCTGTATATAGAGAGATATTGGGTGCTAAAACTCTCCATGAGAGAGGAATACGGACTAGCCTCAACAGAGCTTTCTGCACCATTTCTTCCAATCAGTGGCTGGCCACTATATCAGAAAGACAATTTAGGTGTAGCTCCAGATGTTCTGGACTACAGCTCCCATAATGCCATGAAAAATCACAGGTTGCCTTAGTTTTATGGGTGTTTTGCTCCATAAGGAAGGCACCAGTTTGTTTCCTCTGATTTTCCTCGGTATCTGCTCTTTTCTCTTTCTCTTCCCTTTGGTGCTCCCTGTTGAGATTCTATTTATGTCTTCTGCTCTCATAAGAGAATTTTAATTTTATGGTGTGATTGGGTTTTTTTTTTAAACTGCATTCAGAAAAAAAGAGGAAAAAAAGACTTTTATTTCCTGACACAGCATTTGTGAACTGAAAATAAAAATGCTTTAAGTTTGGTATGAAAATGTTGCAAATTGTCCCCAGGAAGTGAATGTGAATGTTGATGGGTTTGATATTGACCACCATTCTAAATCATAAACCAAATAAACCACAATTGGCCAGATTTGCATGATAACAAAAAGCTGAAGCTGAATAAATCATCTTAAGGTTTAGTGTGAGATTCTATTTTTTTTAACCTTTAAAGCATTTCACATAAATGAGATGAGTCTCTTTTTATGAATCCTGTAAGGTTGTTCAGCATGATGAGATTTCTAGATGGAGGCAGAGGCATTCTCACTTATGTTTCCTCTCCTACACCAACTAAATTGTAAAGCATATATTATATGTTTCAATAATCCAAGTAAAATCTCCAGTTAAAAGGTAGCAGATGGTAGGAAACACTACTTTTAAAATCTGCTGTACATCAGAGCAGGTAAATACTATGCTAATGAATAAATCAGTGTCTCGATCAATTTTGGCTACTTTCAGTTGTCTGGACTTCAGGTCCCAAAATTCTTAGCAATGCTGCCTAGGGAATTCTGGGGATTGAAGTCTATGAAGCCTTTCAATTTTCTCCAGTGTGTATCCCTTGGAGAGCTGTTTCAGAGACACCTCTCCCAATTTGAGAATCAGATTAAGATCACTTACTCTTCACTTAGACCAGACATGTCCAAAGTCCGGCCCGCGGGCCATTTGCGGCCCACGTTCCGGTTTAATATGGCCCTCTAACAGCCCTCCCTGCTCTATGTAAATGCGGCCCTCCCACGGCCCTCCGGCAAGTCCCATGAGAGAGAGAGAGACAGAGACAGAGACAGAGGCACTTGCACTTGCACTTCTGTCTCTCTCTCTCTCTCTCTCTCTCTCTCTCTCATGGGACTTGCCCCCTCGCAGGGCTCCTCATTGGCCCTGCGCCCGGGTGCCACGCCCCCTGGGAGAAGGGCGGCCAGGAAGTCCCTTTCCCGGGCTGGCCCCGTCCCAGGCGCATGTGGCTGGGGAGCCATGCGGGGAAGCCCCAAGATCCCCGCTGGGAGTGGCCTGCCCGAGCCTCCGCTGAGCGGGCCAGCCTTCCCGCAAACCGCGGCCCCGAGAGCAGCCCCTCCGATGCCCAGCCGGCGCCAAGCAGCAGCAGAGCCGGAGACAGAGGGTCAGTGCCGGGGGGAGGGAGGGGGCTCTGAGTTCATGGA